TAAACATTTTAAGGGTTTCTGATATTCAGCAAATTCTCACCCTAACAGTTCTTTTAATCGCAAATGATAGACACATAAAGTGGCCTGCCATCTGTATACTTGCATGTTTAAAATTCTTCCAGTATTAACAGATTCTTTTCTATTTTGGATAAATCCGGTTTTGTCTGGATGCATAATTGAATGTTTCCTGGCCCCTGCTGGCTGTGGTTTCCAAATGGAAAATAAATCATAAGTACTAAAAGGACTTTGTAGAAAAATGCTTTTGACTCTAATAGTAAGAAATTGAATCAGTTAGAAATTTGCTAGGTAACATAATTGAGATTTTTTTAAACAGTAGGACTAGAGAATAGTGATGTATTGAAAAATTGGTAAAAATATATACAAAATTATAAAGTATGTATGATTTAACTGTTTTGAAATTTGTACTTTTTACACTGAATTTCTTTCTATCACTCATAATAAGGTTTCTTTTTAAACTGTATTTATAAAATAGCACCATTTGAAGCCCTTCTCACAGATCTTCCAGTGAGAAGCTGTATGCAGAGGGATTAAGAACCAAGTCCTGGAGGCTTGAGGTGGACCTTGCTAAGTTCTAGTTCTGCCTTTGGCATGCTGGGAAAGGTGTTTAACTTCTCTGCATTTCATATCTCCTTGTCTGTAGAATGAGCTCGTGATGATAGTCTCTTCTCTAGAGAGCCACTTTCTTGCACCATTTTATCTCTATGAGAACACAGAGGCCCAGGAAGGTTAGCATCCTGCTCAGTGGCCACAAAAAAAGTAGAAAAGAAGAGCTAGGATTTGCTTTTACCTGTAACAAAATGTACCCCAAAGCTCTCCAAGGTCCCAGGAAAGCTTTATGATGAGCATGAGACGAAAAGGCATTGGGATGCAGGCTATATATGCTGCGATCTGCTCCTGGCACTGTCACTGTGACCCAATGTGGTGGATGTAAATTCCAAAGAATTTACAATGTCAAGTAATGAATAGGAACCAGTGGTAAGTGAAAACTTGAGGAGTAAATGATAATTTTACTCTGTGCAATGTTGCAACTTTACATCTCTTTAATATATGAGGTATGATCAAAAATACAAAAATACTTAACATTTTAAAATTATTATAGTGAAAGTCACATTGCTAACCTCAAAGTACTCTGTTTTGCTGCAAACACACTTATTCAGTCATTCTTGCCATTGTCTGAAGTAGTTTTGGAAGTCCTCCTCCATGAGTATCTTTAGCTGGACTGTCATGGATACCCTGATGTCTTGAATCAATTCAGAACACTTACCTCTCGTGGTCATTATGACTTTAGGGAAAAGTTAGAAGTCACATTGTGCCTGATCTGGTGAAAAAGGTGGATGAGGACACACTGTAATGTTTTTATGAGCTTGAATTTCCATTAGATTGGCACTTGGATGCAGCATTCGCCATATTTTTTGTCATACTTTATAAAGGCATCCACAAAGATGCAAGAATGATGGGATAAGTGAGTATTTTAAGGGGAATTAACCACAATATGACTTTTACTGTGATAAATTTTTCGCATTTACTATATATTTTGATCGCTCCTTGTATGCTTCATGCCATCTACAGAACAAGGGTTTATCTTAGAAATTAATTGTATTCCCTTGACAGAAAGGAGACCTTGAGAGCTGTAGTGGCTTGGTGAGGTTACAGGTGAGGAGGCAGAGCTGCGTCTAGAATCCAGGCCTCACTCTGGTGGCTCAGGACTCTGCCCACTCCCAACACCCCTGAGAGTACTGATTCCTGGCCAAGCAACATGAAAAAGCCCTTCAAAGGCAAAATGGTGGAATAAGGAGATGACTAACCACAAAGGGAAATTCAGAGTTTGAAAACCACTTCTATCAAAAGTCACTATATAGCCATGTTCTGACTTTACGGAGAAGAGTAAATGTATTTGTATTTGGAAACTTTTGGGGCACATTTGTAATATCAGCTTTAGAATGTATCAAGTAGCATATCAAGTAGTGATATCTATCATGATTGAATCATGAGTTTTACAAGCATCTTTTTTAGTGAGCTCCGATAGTGTCTTATGGCCACTAACATAAAAAATTAAAGCTAAAACAAATTGTACCTGTCTCTGTATTACTTTGTTAGGGCTGCTACAACGGAGTAACTCAGACTCTGTGTCTTAAAAAACAAATTTATTTTCTTGCAGTGCTGTACATTTGAGATTAAGGTGTTGGCTTTTTATAAACAGTCTCTCTTGGGTTGGAGATGGCAACTTTCTCTGCATGCCCACATGTCTGGGTTTTGACCTCTTATAAAGGCAGGAAGCATATTAGGTTAGGGCTCACCCTTTTGACTTCATTTTATCTCTGCCACCTCTGTGAAGACCCAGTATGGTCACATTCCGAGCATGCTGGCTTCAACACATTATAGCTGGAACACAATCCAGTCCATACACATACTTGTGTCTACAGTTACAGCTCCATCTCTCTATATGGTGAGTCTTATGCAAATCTGAAATAATAGTGAGCACTTCTCCAGCTCTTACAGTGTAATAAAAAGGGTACATATTTCAAGTTTCATTTCCCCAGCTTAATTAGCATGTGGCCTGTTCGCACAAACTCGTCAGGAATGAGCATCCTCAGAGCCAACTGTTACCTAATTTTTAGGCTCCTGTTTGCACCAGTAATGGTGGAAAGGGTGAACACGGCTGGGGGAAGTCACCGAGCTGCTGGCTGCCGTCAGAATGCCCATGTGGCATCAGATCTGAAGAGGAGCACTGCAGGCAGCAGGAAAGAGACTTGCACTGTAAGCATCCTCTGGCTTCAGTTCTTTGATGCTCTTTGAGGCATGTCCTGAAGGCTGGGACACTTGTCCACACACAGGAGGCACAGACATGAATGTGGGGCAGTTCTTCACTCCTTTGAAGTAAGCAGTTTCATTTAAAGTGGAATGCACAGGATTTTTTCTCTGGGTTTGTTTTTAGGGGATTGAATTCATCCAAGAATACAGTCTCTTCCGTATTCCACTATAGTCTTCTATCCAGCTACATTCTTTCCTCTCTTCCCCTTTCCTCTTTTGTTTCCATATCTCCATCTCTCACTTATTTATAGCGTGAGGGCCTGCCATGTACGATGCACTCAGCAGGGTCCTGTAGGGAACTCCGGGTGACTCAGAAGTGCTCTGCCTTGCATGCTTTATTCTGGTAACCTAGTCCCTGTTCTGGTCTTGGGTGCACATTCAGTCATTGCTCTGCTAGTTGGTTGGCAAATCTGAAAGCCACTTAGGCTGGCAGTGTCTGGACCTGCCCTCCCTTCAAAGTTCTCTGTCTCTCTGCAGACTTGGCAGTGCTTTTAGCCCAGCCTTTAGCCACCTCCATGTTTCTTCCGTTTCAGCTGCTGCCAAGCAGAGGCTGCTGGCTCCTGACCCCTCTGCCCGGAGGACGTTCTCACCTCGCTCTGTCTTGCCTCCCAGCCTGCTGTATCTTTTCCCTTTTTTGAGCTGTTCCTTCTGATTCCTCCCACTTCTTCCTATTCTCATTTTGACTTCTTTCCCGATTCATATTGATCATCTCTGATGAGCCGACTTAGTGTGCAAAAATAAAGGCTCCCACGATCTGCTTCCTCTCTGCCCACTGTTGTTTATTCCAGGGAATAAAAATATGTTTTCAATGTTCCTTTTGGAGCCAAGGGTACAGAGGAGGGGTTTTTGGACCATTTGCCCATTTTACCACCCTCACCCATCCTAAAGTTACTTCCCAATTATTGAACATTAGGCAACATAATTATTTTTTTAAGAGAAGATTCAGAAGGGTATGGAAGGTACAGGTTGAAATTCCATAATGGGGTTTAAATCTTACCTATAGGCTACAAAGTGTTATATTCATGTACGGGAATAGATTCAACATGGGTGCATATTCTAATTTAATTCTTATAATTTTATTCAGTTGGGAAGTGGTCAGTCAAAAAAAATTTAAATCATGATCACAGCCAGTGTGTGTATCCTCCCCAAACCTGCCTGCCTCCCTCCGTATCTGCTGTCCAAAGCTGACTCACTCTTCATTCCCCAGGCCAACCCTCACTCCTAGGATGGTGGCCTGGTTTCCTCTGAGCTCCTTCAAGACCCAACCAGTCTCAGCCATCTTTGGGTCCCAGCAACAAGCAGAGTCAGGTGCGTAATAGGGCCTCAGTAAAAGTACAGAGAACAAATGAAAAGAAGAAAGTTCTCCAGGCTTCTGTAATCCCTTCCCTGCACCTCTCTGGTGAATTGGTATCTGCAGCACTCACTTAGACACGTGCAAATGTGCCTCCCAACACTGTTGATTAGCCCCCTTAACACTGAATGCTTCCTCTTTCCCCCTCAGATTGGTTTTTTCTTTGAGAAGGGGCACAGTTTCTTCTCTCCATATTTACCTCTCCTGTGAGCTACAGAAATGATTTTCACAAATACAGTCGGCTTAAGTGCTGTTGCTTTTTGCTTGACGTTAGTGTCTATGGAGAATCATGTTTAGAAAGCTGATTTTGTAGAAGCCATAATTTTACTGTAAATAAATCTATGAGATGGGGTTGCTTTTCATGCATTTCAAACGGAGAAGTAAATCATTAGCCACTTGTGCTTCACTTACAGGCGGTTGCTTTGCACCTCATGCTAACCAGTGTTCCTGCCTGATGTGAGTTCAGAGCCCTCAGGGAGGTCTTGCTGATTTCTCTCCTTACCAGCTGGGGACAGATGATCAGCAGGTGTGCGTGTGGCTCCTGCCAGTCTCCTGGACCTTTGAGTGTGGCATTGCCACCTGCTGCTCACCTAGCACAGCCCCTCTTGACTGGTGCTCTGTTGGCGTCCCAGTGCCTCCTCTGATATTCAGAACACATTTTGTTGTAAGTTAACAGACTTAACTCCAAAAAGTCCGCACTGTGTTGGTTCAGGTAATCTCAAACTTATCTGCTTAAGAAACGACGCGCAGAGGGGAAATGAATCGTGCCAAGCTAAGAGCAGGGATTTCCAGTAGTGTTTTAGCAAGCCAGTGACAGAGTATTCACGTGTTAGTTCACTGGCGTGTTCCTCGGCAGCAGCACCCCCTCTCTGCCTCCCCCAAGTTCCAACTGTTGTGCTGCCGCAGGATTCGGTCTGCCCGGGCAGAGCCCCCTCTAGATTGGGTCACAGCAGGAGTGTGGTGAAAGTGATCTTCGCCCTCCCATCGCACACAAAGGCGAGGAGCTGCTTAAAGGGACCTGCCCGCTCCTCCATGAAGCTGCAAACGCCAGTCCGCGAGGGCTCAGCGAGCCGGGGTTTCTCCGGAGAATGAGTGGGGAGGGGTCCTGAGGCGCCTCCGCGTCCTCCCGGAGCGGGGGAGGGAGGGAGCTGCCGGCGGGAGCACGCGAAACCAGCGGTCCGCGGGGACGGCTTCCCGTCAGCTGCTAGCTGGGATGCTCCGCGCCAGCCGCGCGCCCTGCCGTGGTCCAGAGGATGCTGGCGGCGCATCCTGCGGTATGCCTGCGTTGATCTGAGCCAGCGCCCAGCGCGAGCCTGCATTCCGGCGCCGCGGACTGGCTCTCGGCAAGGCTGTGCGCGGTCACCATGCATGCTCAGCTCTAGGCTGCTGGAACAGCCTCCGGACTACATGGACTGGGCTGTTTAATCAGCCGAGATTACTGCCGGGGAAGCTTTCGGAGCTTGATCCGCGCTCCAGCTGCTGTGACAACTTCGGGGCTGGCTGTTTACTTCTCTGGGTCCCGGGGACAGTGTTCTGCAGCGCAGCCACCCCTGCCACTCGGCCGGCTCTGAAGTCAGCGGTCAGGACTCCTCTGACGGTGTCCCCAGGAAGGGGGAGCGAGGAGGGGTCAGAAGAGAGCAGAACCCCCCTAGCTGCTCAACCTCTCCTGACTGCCTGTGCTGTGGGGTTCTGAGAGGGACCGTGCGCTTTCCGGGGAAGCAATGCAAGTCTCCATAGCCTGCACTGAGCACAATCTGAAGAGTCGGAATGGTGAGGACCGACTTCTGAGCAAGCAGAGCTCCACCGCCCCCAATGTGGTGAACGCAGCCCGGGCCAAATTCCGCACGGTCGCTATCATCGCGCGCAGCCTGGGGACCTTCACCCCCCAGCATCACATTTCTCTCAAAGAGTCCACCGCAAAGCAGACTGGCATGAAATATAGGTATGGATGTGAGATTCCCTCTGTCCGGGGTTTCTGGGTTCTGTGTAGGAACAGCTGGGGGAGGCAGTCCATCGCTTTTGAAAAGTGACTTACTTATGGTGGGTTGCTTAATTTAGAATTCTCAGGTGTTTTTAAAATAGCTCTTTAGGAGGACAGAAAAAGCTCAAAGTGGTGTGTGTGTGTGTGTGTGTGTGTGTGTGTGTGTGTAAGTTTTATAAATTGTGGCCCATTTTGTATAGACTTAAGTGTTATGAACACTATAGGAGCTACAGAAATTCCCCTCTGCTAAAAGAGACACACTGCTGGAAACTGGCATTTTGGTCAAGGCATTTTTAGGAACAATTTTTTTCTATTTTAGGATACATATGTAGCTTCTGCCATTATACTATCAGAGATAGTTGCTTATCTAGTACTGTGCTTTTATTTATCTTTTGAAAGACCAAAGACCAAATGCAGCCAACACAAAGATTTTTAAGGAAGTTTTGATGTAGAAGTACCTATAAGTTAGACTGAACACTGCCATATGTGAATGTAGATTACTGTGTGAAATAAAAATTGTCACAGTACCACCAGGTTTTTCAAAATTATAAGCTCCTTTCTCTGTATTGTTTTTGAAAGATGGAAATCTTCTGGGTAATAGCTGATTTTTTAAAACAGAGAATGGCTTAAATTTGGTAAGTGAATAATTTCATTAGTCAATTATGTGTTTTCTGCCTACTCATTATTTGTGATTTGCACCAATCTTTCTTGACTTTGTTTCTTTAAAACTACTGTGCTTCTAGTTTCTAAAACTGAATATAGAGGAGAAAAGGTACAGAGAAATCTTTCGAAGATTTCTGTTACTCCAAGTTGTGGATATGGTTTTGATAATTATTTACATTTAACTACCTCTCATCTTTGTTAGGAATCAGGTTTAAGGGCAGGATGAACTCAATGCAATTAACATAATGCACACGTAAGACTGTGCTTTCCATGTGAGGTTGTTGAAATAATCATTTAAACCTATTCTATAAAAGTTGTTCTTGAAAAGTTTCTTTGCAGAGTTACAGGAAAGCTTTTCATGGCAAGTAGTAAAGCACTGCTGTCTTGATGTATTTTTGAGTCACTGAGAAAGAAAACCCTTATGTGAAAAGAAGCAATTGTAGCTAAAGCTCTTTGCCCAACTGCAGTACAAACTCTGACCCTTAGCAATTCACTGAAGTGTCGGCAACACCTCTGTTTTTCCTGATAGTCCCCTGGTGGAGGGGGAGCCTCACAATGACAGCTCTGTAAATGCGTCTGCAGTCTCTAGTGCAGTGGCTAGTGGCCTTCCTGCCACTGCTGCTGTGGCTCACACCCAGCTCCTGCCCTGTGGACACCGTGCTGTTCTCTCAGCATGAATTTCAGTTGCTGAGGAGACAAGATGCCCCCTCTCTCTGGGAGTGCTCCCAGAGGAAGACACTCCTAGAAGATCAAAGGAAGTGGTGTGAATGGTAGTCTCTAGCATGTTGTGGCACTATAAACTTTCTTATTATAAATCAGAAGAAATCAAAAGTATCAGTGCTCGGTTCTTGTGGCAGTGTTGCATAGTTGCTTGAGGATGACTATGTTGAAAGACTTCGGCCTTATGAGGACTTTTAGAAGTCAAATCCTTTCTATTTAGGTTTTTCTGTCAATATAGCTCAATTCAGATCGATAACTGTTTCTGTTTTGCAAAAGCTTAGTGTGGAAGCCAGATGCTCTTGGGTATCTTTCAATATTGGCAACTGAAGACAGGTTTCTCTGACAGCAAGTTAGCCATCAAGATCTCCGGTTTACTTTGAGATATTCATGGTTTGTGGTGACTAAATAAGAGACCTTTGCCATATGCCTCTTATTTTGAACCACTCTGTTTGTGACAATCGGGTAATACGTATATGCGTGCATGTGTGTGTGTGTGCATGTGCGTGTGTATATGAATTTGGTTTACCCTTCTTTCAAATTCTACACAAGGTGACCTTTATGAAAGAGATTATGAAATAATGCAAAATATATGCTGAGCTTTCTTAAGGTTGAATTGGAGACTAACTATGCTTCATAAAAAAAGATACAAATATTTTTATTAGTTGAATTGCTTTTTACATTGTTGTCCCTAAAATATGATATGCATATGTAGACTATTTGTTAATGACAACAAGTAGAAGAAAATGAAAATAATGCCATGAGATAAGTAAGGTAACTGACTTGGGTAAACATCTGAAGAATACTTACAGGAACCAGAAAGGGAAGTTAGCAACTACTTGTGGGCATGCAATTCTTATCCTTGAAGGTGGTTTCCATAGGCAGAACTTCCAGGAGGATCCATAAACCCATTAGAAGATAAAATATATTGTTTTTCCATTTTTCCAGAAAGAGAGTTTATAGCTTTCATCAGAATTTGAAAATCCATTTTGAATTTTGGAAATCAAAAAACATCAAACTGTTATCAGGTGAAGAGGTACTGAGGTAGTCAACAAATTGTTCACTACTCTGTACTAGTAACTGAACTAGATCTGGTGCAAAAGGTGCAGAAGCCAGATGAGGTGTGGGGCTTCTATTCAAGTTGGAGGAATAGATCATGAATAAGAAAAAATTTTTCTATTATGAGACATTCTTATGAAGACCTTGAGTTGGGTAGCGACAGCCATGTGTAGGCTAACTTAGTTTATTCATACTTATGTCACCAATGGTACTTTAGTTCCAAGACTTAATGATTACATCTTGAGGCATGAGTAATTTGGCCATATCTGCCATCCATTTCTTTTTGGACATCCTTCAAGCCCAGCCCTACTCTAAGGGGCTACCAGGCATTGGAAGACCTAAATCATAACTCTGAAAAATAAGTAGAATTACTTTTTCTTATATAATGCCTTATGATATATGAATATTAATTTATATCATTATCTAAAATTACCATCCTTTTATGAAGAATCCATGAAACTGGGATTTCAGAAAGAATTAATATATCCTTATGGAAAGCATCTGAATTCTTCAAGGAAAATACCCAAAGCCACTACTACATTTTCACTATAATTGTACAACAATCTTTCTTTAAATTGATTATTTGTTTCAAAGTCAACAAACAGAAAAATGTCCACTAGAACATTCATCCATTCAAATGTTAGTATTAGTCCAAAGGAACAAGAGCCCACCTAACATTTATCCTGAGCACTGTCTTAACTGTAAATCACAGGACTATTCTGTTTCTTGGGGTTTTTACAGTTGTGCCTTGCTAATGTTTAAGAATTTTGTTTTAGTTTTGTGTGTGTTTTCAGTCTCAGAGTCAATCATGCCCTGTTAATTTTATGGAAATTCGGCATTCACCATACACGAGAGATTTACACATGACATGTATAGCTGCATACCTGAACCTTTTATCCTAAGAGCAAATCACTCAGAACAGAAGTTAAGTGAGGTTGGTTTGATTGTTTTTGCTTGCATGTTTGGATTTTTTTGATTAGATAATTTTTTAGAATGATCCAGCTACTATTGTTTGATAGGTTTCAGGACTTATCATTTCAGGATAGAGCACATTTTATTGATAAGCACCTGCCACTCACATTCTGAAATCCTTGTTTGACTTCTAAAGCAGTCTGAGTATCACTGAGCCAAATTTCATTGAGAAAAGTTTTGTTTGAAACACACACATCTGTGGCAATATAATCTTGGCTGTGTAGTTAGATTTTTAATAAAAACAAATGATAAAACTTTACTTTTTTCTCTTAAAATTTTAACCACACTTTACCACTATTTTTTGAAGTAATTATAAATTCATAGAAGTGTTTAAGAAAATGTAGAAATTGTTTCTGTGTATGCTTATACTTCATGTTTCTCTAATGGGTACATCTTACATAATAAGTACAGCATGAAGTCAAAACTAGGAAACTGGTACTGTACAATCCAAATTTATTCAAATTTCACCAGTTATGGATGTATTTGTTTATATATGTTTATGTGTCTGGGTGGTTTTATCACATGTATAGATTTGTGTAGCTATGACCACAACAAAGAGTCATAATTTTTCTGTAATCACAAGGCTCCCTTATGTTGTCCCTTTAAAGCCACATTTATTCTTGCTTCCCTCATCCCTAATCCTGAGTAACTACCAACCTGCAAGTTATCACTAAAATTTTGTCCTTTCAAGAATATCATACAAATAAGATCTTGCAATATGTAATCTTTTGAAATCAATCTTTTTTTCTCAGAGGATTTGTGAAGGGAAGTGGGGAGAGAAAATCTTGTAAATGTAACAGAGGTCAGACTGTGGCAATGTGGAGGTCAGGGCGAGCCATTTTGACGTAAGATGAATATCAGCAATAGAGAAAACATTTGGAGCTTTGAGCAGGGTGTCTGGTAACAAAGTTCAACTAAGCAAGGGTTAATCTGGCAATTGTTTCTCCAAAAATCTAAGAGTTATGGGTTTAAAATGAGGGAATTTATGCTGAATGTCATAGCGCTCTCCATTTTCCTGTAGAAAATCAAGACTTTATGGAAAATTGTTCAGATGCCAAATACCTCTCCCATGTCATTCCCTTTCAGCCTCTTTAGTAAAGCACACATTCCCTGCCTCCCACAAATGGTGGGCAGATTTTGAATCAAAGCAATTCAAGTGAAAGATCAATCTTGTCAACTGATTATGTAAAAGGCACTAAATGCTTTTGTGAGTGCCTCTGTGTGTGTGTGTGTGTGTGTGAGAGAGAGAGAGAGAGAGAGAGAGAGAGAGAGAGAGAGAGAGAGAGAGAGAATATGTCTCTGTAAGAGGAAAGGTAGGAGGAAAGGGTAGGCTAAAGAGGAGAAAGTGAAAAGCCAGCTCGGTAGCTGTGTTTCAAATAGGAGTATTTGACTGTAGTCCAGAGAAGAGGGCAGCTTGGTTATTTAAAATGCCAAGATTTTAATTTTTTTGGTAAGGAGTGCCACTGTCATTTCCAATGACACCCATGGGTGTGGGCTTTCTTCTCTGCCTAAAGGAAACTGAAGGGAATGGGGAGGTGGAGAAGGCTTCC